AACAGTTTATTTTCCACCAATCACAATCTCATCATCATCATCAGCCACACTGGCCATTGCGCAATGACCACGATACTCATCATCATCCAATCAATCAACACATAATCACATAACAAGCAAGACACAACAACAATGACACGTATCACACATAAAATCCTAAAACAATGCCAAAAACACCAAACGAGACTCATACACGACAAACGGGATACAACGGGACACGGGGAAACATCAAACGTGGAAAAACACCACGAACCACGTCGGAATTCCAGCGGGTAGGTGGCGGATGGTCAGGACCACCCGCCAGCCACCCGCCGACGCAATGATATCTACTACACCGAGGGAGGACAGTATGTCACCCTCGAGGAAATTTGTCTCAAACCCGAGGAGGAACGTAGGGAGTTGGTTGACCGATTGGACATCTCCAACAAAAAGCTCAAACGAGCAATGCAAGATTGTGGGGGTCTAGAGAGAAATGAGGATCAGGATGAGGATGACGAGCCTAACCCATCATTGCACCCATGATCGAGAGCGGACCCAAGGGAGCAGAACGAGGACTCGATCAATAAGCGCATACTCGCACAACTCAACCGGCAAAACCAAATCATGGAGGAAGGGTTCTCATCCTTGATCCATACGACACGCGCACTAGATCAGAGGGTGGTAGCAATCGATGCCATCTTGGGCACTCGCGGGGCGTCCAGCTCAGGAGCAGGAGACCGAGGTAGACCCAAAACCTTTCTATCAAAACACCACCAGAAATCCAGTCTACCCCAGCTAAGGCAAAACGTGGGGCCACATTCCTAACCGGGAGGCCAAGATGCGGGATGCCTAGGGGTGAAAGAATGGATTAACACACCGGGCTTCGGGGACGAAGCCCCTTGTAAGGGGGGGAGAATGTAACACCCCGTGTTACGACCCCTAAGACCAATCAACCATTTGACCAATTGCCCAAAAGAAAGAATTAAATTACAATAATTAATTAGGAAAAGGCCCACCATAGTCCGTGGGCCCTCTTCTATAAACCCAACCTCTAGTCCTAAAAGGAATAGAGTTAGCAAGCCTATAGTATTTGGGCCCAAATTAGGACTCTTAGATATATAAATAGGGGACATAGGAGACACCTAGAACCCCCACCACAATAATCCCTCACCACACCATGAATTCCAAGAATTCCCCTAGGAGAAATCAAGAAAGAAGAAAGCTTAAAGAAAGACCCTTCATAGCCAAGGAATTAATTAAGGCTAAGAGGTAACCCATGTCTCAACAAAACCTATTTGCATAGCTATGATTCCCCCTTAGGATTCCCCATATTATTGTGTGTTGATGATTCGTTATATTGATAATTGGTGTTATGATTCCATTGATGTTCTTGATGATAAGAGGTTCTTGAGGATTATATGGTATTCTTGATGTCCTTGATGATTATATGTTGTTCTTGGTTCGTATGATGATCTTGAGGTTTATGTGATATTCCTACCGAATCTTGATATCAAAAGATGAATTGTGTTCCTGTTGATTTAAAAGGGATTAGAACCCCAGGTTGCACCGTGAAACTCGTGGGGTATTATTCTTGGTGTATTGGGTGGAAATTCACATGTTTGGGTGTTAATTATGTTTAGAAAAGCATGATAGGATATGTGCCGCATGTTTCTTGTTTGTAATCCGTTAATTGTCTAGGTATTGTTGTCAATTGCGTTTGAAAGTGTCTAAGCATGGTTTCGGGTTCCACAAAGGTTCTCGGGGCGTTTTTGGTGAAAAAGAGTCAGTGGGGGGTAGGTGGGGGTAGGGAACCCGCCACCTACCCGCGCCCAAGATGGGCAGTTCCGGCAGCGGGCAGCCGGCGGGCGGGCAGCTGCCTGCCGGGCACCCGCTGCCCGGAATAGTTAACGCCGGCGGGTGAACCCTCACCCACCGGCCACCCGCTGGAAATCACCCCAACCCGGGATTTTGGCTTCCCCGTTTGATGTTCCCCCGACCCCCGTGGTGTCCCAACGGACCCCTCCCATCGTGCCTATGTCTAGTTTGATGTTCGGATGCCATTCGTAGGTTGAAGGAGTCTCGTATATTGCATGCTAGTTGAATTGGTATCCCGTTGGCCTAGGTGTAAGAAGTATGAACCCCTTAGGACTATTGTTAGTTGTGGATGACCACGCATAGGTTTCTTTATACGATTTCTCCCCCTTCCCAATGTGTTAATGTGGGTTGCATGTGCTTGTTATGTGTTATGTGTGCATGATACCCCAATTTGGTTGCGATCAAATTGGCTATACGGGCAGTTGGATGGGTTGAGAACCATACTAACTGTTAACCAGGCCGGTTGCGATCGGTCAGGTATATAAATATTATATAGGGTTGCGGTCCACCGTTTGGTTGCGATCAAACGTTTCTACATGAGTTGTGGTTCATTTTCCTGGCTGCGGTCAGATGACATACTCTTGGGCTGCGGTCCACTGTTTGGTTGCGATCAAACTATGATGAGCTGCGGTTCATCGGTCGGTTGCGATCGACCCCTCCGTGTTGCGATACGAGGCAGGGTGTTGCGGGTCCGTGTCAGAGCTATATGCGCTGACCCTCATGTATGGGCATGCGATTGGTCCTGTGGCGCCAACAAAGTGTGCTATGTGATGAGATATGGATGAGTTGTTGTTATGAGTGTCTCGGGAGGTGACTTTGGGATTTGTGCCGGGAATCGTATATGTTGGGTTATGGATATTAACTGTGCTTATCTTTATCTGCCTTGCCTGCTTCCCTATGCTTATGAATTGTATATGCTTGATTATGACCATTGTCTGTGCTAAGCCCTATCTGTTGAGTCTATTCCCTGTTTTGAAAGCTAGAGTCTCTTAGGATATATCTTCATGCTTCGAAATGGTTTTTCGTATAACTATGTATATATCTATACGTATTGTATTTCAACGCGTTGGAGTGGGTTACCATCATCTCTTGCTGAACAGATATATTTGGCTTTCAGGCACAGAAGGGTAGACACGGGAGCGCGCTAGAATCGTGGAGCATAGAAGTAGATAGTTTCCCTTTCGGCCCGCGTGCCATGTTATGCATTCTCTTTACTAAGGATATTAGTTAGTTAGCCTGTGCACCTGAGTTCTCCAAGCTCAGGTGTGGCATAGCACCCCGTACTCTTTGTATCGTAATTTGGGATTTAATGAGATTCTACCTTTATTATATAAGTTTTAAAAGTCTTCAAAATTTGGGGTGTTACACCTGGAGCGAAGAAATATGGAGCGGATAACACCCGGCACCGAGTGGACTACGCATGCGGGCGGACAGACCATGGAAGTGTCTACCTCCCCGGGGTCCTCAACTACTACCACGGGGTCCTCGGCTACTATCACGGGGTCCCCGGCTACTGTGCACACGGTGTGACGAACCACCCCGGGGTCGGCTCGCCGTCAAGCCGACCCCCACGGGCTCGGCCACGTGGGCTCGGCCGAGCCCGTGGCCGGCACCTTGGCCGAGCTCCGTGCTCGGCCAAGGACCGGGTCCTCTCGTCGAGCGAGTCCTGCGGTGCGGGCCGCGGCTCCTCCCGGGCCTGGTCCGGCCGGGGATATAAAAACACCCCCCGGTCTCCTATTCAAGCATCTTCTACTTTTCTTACAACACTTGTATTGTTATTACGCGTCCCGAACCTCTGTAATAGCACTATACACTCAATTAATACGATATTTATCATTTTATTATTCGTTCGTCATATTCAATCATATATACGGGTTGTATAATCCGGACCCCTGGATTCATATAATCCATCAATATATATATATATATATATATATATATATATATATATATATATATATATATATATATATATATATATATATATATATATATATATATATATATATATATATATATATATATATATATAAAAGAAAGCTCTTACTCCAATCTCTTACGTAAGAGAGTATAAGAATTTCAAGCTGTTATTCGAATCTTACATAAGAGAGTACAAGCCTTTCAAGCCTTATTCCAATCTTACGTAAGAGAGTACAAGAATTACAAACATTAGAGTTGGCTTACCTAATTTAACAGAAATGATTTTTTTCTTTTTCTTGAAGATGAAACCCAAACGATTGGACATTACTTGCAACTTGTTCGTTTTCTCTTTTTTACTTTGTTTTATTTTATTTATTTATTTATTTATTTATCATACATGCATATGCGATTTAAACATTTTATTCTTCTAAAGCTCAACAATATATATAGTGTAAATATTTTTTTTAAGACTTATTTTCAATGGTAAAGTGACTTAGATTAAATTTTTTCTGCGAAAAAATGTAAAGTTTATTGTTAAGTCTCAGATATAAAGTGATTCGATTTAGGTGAGTTGAAACTTTAATATTTAAAAAAAAAAAAAAACTCTCTACCACTTAATTCTTATCTATTATTGTACTTGTTGTTTCTTGTACCAATACCCTACCTAGCTTCCGTTGTCTTTGTATGTATAGCCACGTGTGTAGACATTGAAGTTGACTGACGAAGGAGGAGTAATAATGGAGTGAAATTCATTCTTACACTCAAATCTTTGCCTCCTTAGCTTCCATGTTCGAAGTGTCACAAATTATCTCTCATTTACCAGTTTTAGATAACATATAACTAAAATTATCAATGAAAATACCCATGGGTGTGGGTATCTTCCAATTTAATAAAAACAAGTGATCTGAAAAAATAAAAAATCTAATATATATATATACAATTCACAAATGAAAATTTAATCTAAATTTCCAAAATATATAGCTAGAAAGAAAAGTGCGTTGCCATCCCATCTTGGTGTACTGGCTAAGTGGAATCAAGCTAAGGGCTTTTTAACTTTTTCTTTAATAAAGATTGGGACTTTGTTGAAGATCACCATTAAGGGTTCATATACATAGTAATAAATATATACTTGCAAGACATGTTGCATTGATTCACAAAATCTCCAACTCATCATCAAAGTCTTTGGTCAAGCTAGGAATCTTCCAAGTCTACCACGTACAGGTGACATATACCTTGCTTCCACAAAACTCATTCCTGGATTAGTTCCTTTCATTTCAAACCATCATATCATAAACTAAACTACATTATTTCTTGTTTATACACTGTTAGTTGTTCTGACTTTGTTTCTGTTGTTTTTTTGGCGCAATGGCGATCCTGTCACCATGTTCCACAGAGATGCTGGGGAGGGTACTGGAAATGATATGCGGCAAAAACCACGATGAGCCGAAAGAGAAGAGCAACAATAATGGAGGCATCAAGATCAAAGGGAAAGTGGTGTTGATGAAGAAGAACGTTCTGGACTTGAAAGATGTTGGGGCTGCCTTGGTTGATCGAATTCACGAGGTGTTTGGCAAAGGGATCTCTCTTCAGCTGGTCAGTGCTGTTCATGCTGATCCTGGTACGCCCTAATTAAAGTGATATTATAACGGCCTTGTTTGGTAATGACGGTTAACTGTTAGCTGATTGAATTAATTAGAAAGTATAACTAGTTTCATAACATTAGTTGATCGTAGAAAAGGTGTTTGGTAAATTAGCTGTTAGCGGATAACTGTTTGATATAATTTATTTTCTCAAAAAGTTAATTAAAAAAGTTGGGTTGAACAGCTTTTTGAATTTAAGTAATTTGGAGTACAAAAAGTTAATTACCCAAACATTTATATTGCCCTGTTTGGTAAAATAGTCCGCCTACAGGTCAATTTTGGCTTATTTGACCACTATTAACTGTTTGACTTTATTAAAAAGTCAATATAAGTATTTGGTTAATTAGCTTTTTCTAATGTCGAAATGCTAAATTTCAAAAAGCTGCCTAAAACAACTTTTTCAATTAGCTTTTTGAGAAAAGAAATTATACCAAACAGCTATCAGCTAATAACTAATTTACCAAACATCATTCTACAATCAATAATGTTATCAACTAGTTATACCATCTAATTAACTCAATCAGCTAACAGCTAACAGCTTACCGCCATTTACCAAACAGAACCATTGATTTTTAAACCAAATCAAACAACTAATAGTGGTCAAATAAGCCAAAATTAACCTATATGCTAACTATTTTACCAAACAGGGTTGTTTTTATAATTGAAGCTTTGTTTCCAAAGATAAGATATGGGTTTCAATATATTCACTGTACGTACGTTTTATATATATGTAGCAAATGGATACAGAGGGAAGTTGGGAAAACCAGCATTCATTGAGAAGTGGCTTTCCAAGTTCACTGCAGTAACAGCTGAAGATACAGAATATGACATTACATTTGAATGGGATGAGTGGATGGGAGTTCCAGGTGCTTTCATTATAAAAAACAATCATCACAGCCAGTTTTACCTCAAGACCCTCATTCTGGAAGATGTTCCTGGCCACGGTCCACTCCATTTTGTCTGCAATTCTTGGGTTTATCCTGCTCATTACTATAACTACAACCGTGTGTTCTTTGCAAATAAGGTGGGTACATACTTTTACAGACTCTCTCATTGAATAATAAAGTAATATATATATGTACACTAATAATGCAAGATTGTTGGGGCAAGTCTAGCACCATGTAGCTAAGAAATTGTTGGGCATAGGCCGATAAAAGGCCAAGTTCAACATCTTAGCTTTCAAAAATATGTGGCATCGTAATAAGGAAAATAAAGTTGTGTTTTCGCTACGAGCTATAGCTTTTGGTGTGGTAAGCGCTTGATCTTGACAGGTTATATTATAGCCAGGTCACAAGTTTGAGAGGGTACTGTTGGGCTGAGGTTGGTACTGGGAGGGGATTGTTGGGCTGAGGTTAGTACTGGGAGAGAATTGTTGGGCCAGTAAGGATCAAGTCCAATACTACATTACTACATGTGGCTAGGAGATTGTTCGGCGGAGGCTGATAAAAGGCCAAGTTCAACATCCTAGCTCTCAAAAATGTGTGGTGGTATAAGGATATAAAATTATGCTTTCGCTACAAGCTATAGATTTTGGCATGGTAAGCGCTTGATCCTAACATGTGATATTAGAACTAGGTTTCACGTGTTTGAGAAGGGATTGTTGGGCAGAGGCAGGTAAGAGCCAAGTTCAACACCATATGAGAATAGTTATACCATGGACCCGGGTCCACCTTGCAAGGTAGATCAGGGTCCAAAACACACAATTTACATACTGAATGTTCACCATTTACATACTAAATGTTCACAATTTGATTGTGAACATTTAATATTTAAATTGTGTAGGTAAATTATTAACATTTATTGTATAAAAATTGTAAACATTCAGTATGTAAATTGTATATTTTAAACCCCGGTTCACCTTGCAAGGTGGACCTAGCGGAATAATTTGTCCACCATCTGGCTAGACGAATGGGGCTAGGAGAATTATTGGACGGAGGCGGTAAGGAACCAAGTTCAGCAATTAGTGGCTATTAGGAAATAAAGTTGCACAATGGTAGTTCTATGAGGCTTTAATTTTGTTACCACTGAATTGATGGAGCACGTAAAGTAGATTCACATACATTTTTTCGGATCACTTGATGAACATACATGCTGAAATTAAAATGCCAGTTAATTTATATATATATGGTTGTGTTGTGGGCAGACATACTTGCCATGTAACACTCCAGAACCACTAATCCTGTATAGAGATGAAGAACTTGTTAATCTTCGTGGGAACGGGCGCGGTATGCTTAAGGATTGGGACAGAGTTTATGATTATGCATACTATAATGATTTGGGAGAACCTGACAAGGGCTTGGACTACGCAAGGCCTGTGCTTGGTGGATCAAAGGACTATCCCTATCCTCGTCGGGGCAGAACTGGCCGTCCACCAACTAAAGCTGGTTAGAATCATAATCTGAACAAGTTAACCAAACATATATGTTATGTTATGTTGAGTTGTTAGTTTAATAGAAAAAGTCCCAATTTAATTTGATGGTTGTGCAGATCCTGAGACAGAGAGCAGATTGGCACTTCTGAGTTTAGACATTTATGTTCCACGAGATGAACGATTCAATCACGTGAAGTTTTCAGATTTCCTTGCCTATGCGGTTAAATCACTGGGGCAGGTCCTTGTCCCTGAAATTGCATCCCTATTTGACAAAACCATCAATGAGTTTGACAGCTTTGAGGACATACTCAAACTCTACGATGGAGGGGCTAAATTGCCTAATGGAAACTCTGGAAATAGATTCAAAGAATGCGTCTCATTGGAGCTCATCAAGGAACTTGTCCGCTCTGACGGAGAACGATTTCTCAAATTCCCCATTCCTGATGTAATCAAAGGTACCCAACTCTACTGTTTTTGGGCCAAAACACTTCAATTCAGATATTATCAGATCGACCGGATGGTTATATATATTGTGAAGAAACTGTTCCTTTAATTTTTAGATGAGTTAATTTTAGCAATGGTCCTCCGACTATATTGATTTTTTAAAATTAGTCCCTGATTTTTAATTTGGCCACTTTAGGTTCATTAATTTTCAATTTCTTTCCAATTGAGGTCCTTTCGTCAAAATACGGTTAATTGAACTTTAAATGAAAGGGTAAACTCATCCTTTCACCTGTCTATGTATTATTCTTTGTATTTTCCCCTTGTATACGCGATATATATGAAGATAATCTCAGTCGAAGCCCTAGAATGTTCCTCGTCGTTCCCCATTTGCTGACTGCTCATGTGTGCATTCCTCCATTATTGAGATGTTTATAAGGTATAACAGCGAAATTCGAAGAATAATACATAGGCAGGTGAAAGGACGAGTTTACCCCTTCATTTAAAGTGCAATTAACCGTATTCTGACGAAAAGACCTCAATTGAAAAGAAATTGAAAGTCATGGGACCTAAAGTGTCCAAATTAAAAGTCGGGGACTAATTTTAGAAAACCAATATAGTCGGAGGATCATTGCTGGAATTAACTCTTTTTAGATGACGCGGGAAACCCCACAATCCTTTCGAGTGTAGGTAAATCTCGCCTTGTGATTCTAATCGACAAAGGACCAAGGAAATAAATCAACCTAGGTTACCCGTAACTGAACTGCTCAAACCATGGGGACAAAGATTTGAACTCCTCTCTTGTTATCTTTGGCTGGGGTTACCTTGTTTCTTTAATTTTTGGATGACGAGGGAAACCTGATAACCCTTTTTGTAGTAGGTAAATCCCCTTAGAGCATCCTTAGTAGTTGATCCCCATTGCGGTTTTTGAGGGAATTTTGTAAGTGTGATTAGGAAAGAGATAAAAAAAAAAAAAAAAAAAAAAAAAAAAAAAAAAAAGTGGGTGAAAAACAAAAAAAAAAAAAAAAAACAAAAAAAAAAACAAAAAAAAAAACAAAAAGTGTTTCAAAAGTTAGAGTGGTCGCCAGCTGGCGGCTACTCTGACGCGCCCGCTGTGGGTGCGAAGTGTGCCTAACGCGCATCCGGAGTTGTGTTTTTTTTTTTTCTCTGCCATATTGGTTGTTGCAAGAGGATTATTTTGCTTTGAACTACTTCCTCACATCAGCTATGAATCCCCTTACTGTTCTAAAAACTCAGTTTGATGCGCTGGTGTAAATTCTCTTAGTGACCCTAATCAGCAAAGGACAAAGAAACTAAACCAGTCTAGGTTATCCGTAGCTGACATGCTCAGACCATGGGGGCAAGGATTCAAACTCCTTACCTTGTGATTACAGATGTGAATATCTTGTCATGGGGTTACCTTGTTTCTTTAATTTTTGGATGACGAGGGAAATCTGATAACCTTTTCGGGTGTAGGTAAATTTTGTCTTGTGACCTAGTCAGCAAAAAGTCAATGAAGTAGATTAGTTAGGTTACTCATAATTTACATGCTCAAACCATGGGGACAAGAAATCAAACTCCTGATTTTGTGATTACAAAATATGAATCTCTTGTCAGTTTTGGCTGAGGTTATCCTGTTTCTTTAATTTGTGTTGTGGGATCATTGCAGAGAACAGATCTGCTTGGAGGACTGATGAAGAATTTGGACGGGAAATGCTGGCTGGAGTTAACCCTGTTGTCATCCAACGCCTCCAGGTAAAATACATTAAAAAAAAATTATTATACAAGATAATATGTTCTTCTAAACTAAGGAAGAAATATAATTAATTGACTTATCAATCTCTGATTTATCAGGAATTTCCACCAACTAGCAAGTTAGATCCACAAGTATATGGCATGCAGAACAGTACAATCACAAGGGAACACGTCGAGAATAGGATGGATGGGCTAAGTGTGGATGAAGTACGTACTCCTCATCTCTTTCACTACATCAAATTAAAAGAGATTATACATATTGTTTTATGTCAAAACATGTAACAAAGATTGTGGGCACCGACATTTAGCTATGTTTGTTGAGCCATTAAGTCACATGATTTACATCCTCCTAAATGCTCTGTAGAGCCGGGGTGTGAACTCTTGGGATTGAGATTGGGATTCAATCTTTTGGGAAAAGAAGATTGAACCGGCCAGCCAATTAATTTGCCATAAATGATCTGATCAGTAAAGTGTGACATACAGGCAATTTTAGAGAACAGGCTATTCATCTTAGATCATCATGATGCACTGATGCCATACCTGAGGCGGATCAACACGACAACCACAAAAACTTACGCCACCAGAACTCTCATTTTTCTCAAAGATGATGGTACACTGAAGCCCCTGGCAATCGAGTTGAGCCTCCCACATCCACAAGGAGATAGGCATGGCGCCACAAGCCAAGTATTCACTCCAGCTCATCACGGCATTGAGGGCTCCGTGTGGCAGCTGGCTAAAGCTTATGCATCTGTAAATGATTCCGGCTACCATCAACTCATTAGCCACTGGTGAGGACACACAATTTATTAGGATCAAACGCTTATCACTATTTCAAAAGTGATCACAATTTTGGCACAATCCCCTAGCACCTGCTAGTCTTAATTACCTGGCTCAGATATCACTTATTAGAATCAAGCACTTACTACTACGCACAAATTTTTATAGCTCATAGTGTTGAGCATATAGCCATTAATGTGCAATCTAACTATCAGCTTAGACTCTTAGTTGAGATGGAGCACATGCTTCAATTTGATATCAGAGTCAGACCAAATGTGCAATTTTATTCTTTATATACCACCACATTATTTAGAGGCAAGGTGCTAGATTTGGTCCTGCACTGGCCTCCACCCAAAAATCATTTAGCCATCAATTATTGGATTTAGTCTTGGCTTTCGCTTAAAAATCCCTTATTAACCACCAATTGTTGGACTTGGCCCTTCAACGACGGCCGCTCATCAATCCCTTAGTCACCAATTTCTGAACTTGACCCTTTACTAGCCACCGTCCATCAATCCCTTAGTCGCCAATTGCTGGACTTAGCCTTTCACTGACCTTTGCCTAACAATTCCTTAGCCACTAATTGCTGGACTTGACACTTCACTGACTTCCACCCAACACAATCGACAGCAATCAGATATTTGAATCTATCTACATATCAGTGATTGCTGTAATTTAATATTTTGATGATGATGAGATGAAATGCATGGATGCAGGTTGAATACCCATGCGGTGATAGAGCCATTCGTGATTGCCACATATAGACAACTAAGCGTGGTTCATCCGATACATAAACTTCTACAACCCCACTTCCGAGATACAATGTACATAAATGCATTGGCTCGCCAGATCCTGATCAATGCTGGTGGAGTACTAGAGCTCACTGTCTTCCCAGCAAAGTATGCAATGGAGATGTCATCATTCATTTACAAAACCTGGGTCTTCACTGACCACGCTTTCCCTACTGATCTCCTCAAGAGGTCAGCTATCTACAACCTATCTAATTTATATTATTAGACCATGCATACACTCTTAGAATCAAGTGATGGATTTGACCCTTTATTAAATAATTCCCTGCACAATTATTACCACCCCTAACCTGGCAAGTTCTAGCAACTTTATTTCTTTATATACCAACTACCACATTTTTGAGATGTAGGGTATTGGACTTGACCCTTCATCAGTTTCCACCTAACAATTCCCTAATCAACAATTGTTGGACTCTGTTCCTTACTAGCCTCCACCCAACATGTACGACAATCCCCTAGCCACCAATTGTTGGACTTGGTCCCTTAGTAGCCTCCACCCAACATACGACGGCCTTGTAATATTAGAACATCCTCACTAGATGTGGTTTAGGCCCTACTAAAAACCACTATTTGCAGGAGTAAAATCCACCTAAAAACCATGTTCCCCATTAATATAAAAATCATAGTTTGGTTCTTTCCACCTGCAAAAAAAAAACTCTTAAAAATCACTAATGGGAATTTCCTTAGCTTAGCTTGTTTTAATTATATTAAATTATAACTCTTTTCTGTCTGATCTGCAGAGGAGTGGCAGTAACAGATTCAACCCAACCTCATGGCCTTCGGCTTCTAATAGAAGATTATCCTTTCGCCGTTGACGGTCTTGAAGTCTGGGCTGCAATTGAAGCCTGGGTGGAAGAATATTGCCGCTTGTATTACCACTCAGATTACATGGTCCAATGTGACTATGAGCTCCAGTCATGGTGGACGGAGATTCGGGAAGTAGGCCATGGCGACTTGAAAGATGAGGCATGGTGGCCGCAAATGCAAACTCGACCCCAACTCATCCAAACCTGCACCATCATCATATGGGTAGCTTCTGCTCTTCATGCCGCGGTTAACTTCGGCCAATACCCCTACGCAGGCTACCTCCCAAATCGCCCCACCGTGAGCCGCCGGTTCATGCCGGAGCAAGGCACGCCGGAGCACGCCGAGCTCCACTCCAACCCGGACCTCGCCTTCCTCAAAACCATCACGCCCCAGTTGCAGACCCTTCTGGGGGTTTCTCTTATAGAGATACTGTCCCGGCATTCCAGTGACGAAATCTACCTCGGGCAAAGAGACACCCCCCACTGGACTTCGGACGAGGAACCGCGAGAAGCGTTTCAGAGATTTCATGACAAGTTGGTTCAGATTGAAGGGAGGATATTGGAAAGAAACTGCGACCCGAGGTTGATGAATCGATTTGGAGCTGTGAAGGTGCCTTATACTTTACTATACCCGAATGCCTCCGATTACAGCAAGATTGGTGGACTCACTGGCAAGGGAATTCCCAACAGTATCTCAATATGAACTCCCCAGGCCCAGCCAACTTCAAATCATACAACATTACTTTATTCTTCAATTCATTCCCATTTATGTATACCAAAAGTCATTGTAATTGGTTCTTAGTTTCTACTTTCCTGTCCCATTTTATGTATTGGTTTAGTTAAGGAACTGGTATGAAATTATTATATTTTTAATTCAATTTTTATAATATTAATTTATCTATTTGAAATTAATTAACATTCATCTATAATTTGTTTATACTGTCTTATTTCTCTATCTTTTTTATTTTATGTTCTTAACTTTTTTTTCTATTATGCAGTTTATGCTTCAGTCAAAAAACATATAATTAGTTTTGTTGAGAAAACACTGAACTATTTTCCTCTCTCTCAGTTTTCTCTGAACTATATCTCCAGTGTCTCTTTTTATCATGGTATTTGTCCTTTCATGATCATTTCCCCCTTTTCAGGCTTTAATACCATTCCGTGTCAGGTGTTTAAGGATCTTTCTATTCCGTGTCAAGTGTTTTATGATCTTTTATGGACCTGGCAGAAGTTGGAGGTAGTAATTTATAATCATATTTATTAATTCATTTATATGTATTACGTTGTATCATACTCCGTATTACTTATTACTATCATAATCTCATGCAACATGTTTATATATTTAAGAACAAAATTTAAATTATCCATACGATTTTTTCTTTTATGTAATCCTTATAACCATTACCAAAATTCTATATAAACATACCATTCAGAAAATAAATTATAAACTATAATTGGACAATCATTAAAATTGTTGAGTTTGTCTCATATATGGATTAAAAATATGAGTTTGTCTCATACTAGGAGTAGGAGTGAAACACCTATTGTACAGGGATTAGATGCCTATAAATATATTGGTTGTATCCCTAAGGGATGTGTCACCACCATTACCATCACTATGAATATAAGAATTGTTTCACTCCCGTGGATGTAGGCACATTACCGAACCACGTAAATCTTGTCTTCTTACCTTTCTGCCATTGTTATTGTTATTTGTTCATGTTAATCTCAACAATTGGTATCAGAGCACTGTTGAGATTTTCAGTACAAAATTTGATGGTACAGGAAATTTTGGGTTATGGCAATCTAGGGTAAAGGATTTGTTGGCACAACATGGCCTTCTGAAAACCTTGAAGGCAGAAAAACCAGCTAATCTGGAAGAGGCTGATTGGGAGGAGTTGAAGAAGTAAGAAGCTATGGACGTGCTACTTGCAGATGACTCTTATTATAGTGAAGGTGATGTTCTAGCAGTTACTAATAACAAGATCGAACATTGTATGGACTTGTTGGATGTTTCTAGATGCTAGATGAGAAGGCGGCTGAGGGGCGTTGTAGTGTTGGGCAGTGCGGATACCAGGAGGGGTCGCGGACCTGGTATGGGTCGGTCTTGTCATGAGTCACGGGTGGTATAGCTATGGGCTGGGCTTGTCATGAGTCACGGCTGGTATGGGCCGGGCTTGGCATGAGTCACGGTTGGTACGAGCGGATGCTTCAAGACGAAGCAGTTCGTGAACATGCACGGGGAAACATTTTATGTTGCACGGTGCGTGTTGCTGACCAGTGGCAACTGCTGGTTAGTGGAGCATTGGGCAAGGCACGCGAGTTTAGTGTAACTTTGGAAGGCGCTGTTGTGTTGGGCAACGTGGATACCAGGAGGGGATATGGACCTGGTATGGGCCAGATGCAGGAGGTAAGCTAAACGGGACAGTAATCATGAGTCGCGGCTGGTATAACAGGTCGACGGCTGAGGGGCGAATGGCTTGGGACAAAGAGGTTCGTGTACATGCTGGAAAACGTTTGATGCGGCGCGGTGCATATGGCTAGCTAGTTGGGATGAACATGGTTGTTCCTACCCATGTGTATATGTGAGATAAGTCTTTTACTCCTAAAGCGCATATTTTTGAAGGTGGAGATTGTGAGATAAATCTTTTCTCCTAAAGGACATATTTGCCAAGGTGGAGATTTGTTGAGTTATCTTTTTCTCCTAAAGAGCATATTCGTCAAGGTGGAGATAGTCTTTTCTCCTAAAGGGCATATATAAGAAGGTGGAGATGGTGAGATAAGTCTTTTCTCCTTAAGAGCATATTCGTCAAGGTGGAGATTTGTTGAGTTATCTTTTCTCCTAAAGAGCATATTCGTCAATGTGGAGATTGTTGAGTTAGTCTCATATATGGATTAGGAATATGAGTTTGTCTCACACTAAGAGTACGAGTGAAACGGGTCGACCTATTGTACAGGGATTAGATGTCTATAAATATATTGGTTGTATCCCTAAGGGGTTGTGTCACCACCATTACCATCACTATGAATATAAGAATTGTTTCACTCCCGTGGATGTAGGCACATTGCCGAACCATGTAAATCTTGTCTTCTTACCTTTCTGCCATTGTTATTGTTATTTGTTCATGTTAATCTCAACAAAAATATATAAGAGATGAGAAATTATACCCTTGTTGCTAGGTCACCGAAATCCTCCTCTTGCCCTGCCATGAACTCCCTTAAACTTCATTGATTTCAACGGGAAATTGGCTAGGCTCCAAAGGACTTAAAATTTTTTTTTCTAGTTCTAAAGATATAATAATTGATATTTATCTAATTTTTATAACTGCTCAAAAATAGTCTACAACTATACTTCTTCTTGTTATGTCTTTTAAGTTTGGGTTTGGTTATAGAGAGAAAGAAAGATTTAGCTATAAGAGCCAGGAGAGGTACAAATAAAACTTATTTAGATTGCTTCTGATGATCCCTTACAATCTACATAGAGGCTCCTTATATAGATAACCTCAAGGGTAAGATATGTATTTTAATATTTACAAAGTCGTAAAGACTATAGTAGACTACATTACTTTATTTTGTTTTACATAGATTTTTCTAAAGAGATACAATACTTTGTTTGCTATTATGCTTTATCTCTTCTCTTTTTCTTCCAACTGTCCTGGTTGATAAGCTCGAGTTGTCAACCAAGATTCCTTTTTCTTCTAGGTTGCCAAGCGTCCTAGTTTCTTCCAGGCATATCCCTTACTTTCTCAGACGTTATGCCATGGAACCGTGTTCACCATTCATGGTGAACACGGTTCCAACAGTGTTAGTACACCGTTATCTTTTTTTTTTTTTTTTTTTAAATTAATTGCGTGACTTTTCTTCTTTATTTTCACATTTTGCGGTTTCACCTTAATTTGAGGTGAACAAAGATTTCGGACATTCATAAATTATGAATTCATGCCTGCACATTCACTTTGGAACCATGCCTACACATTCCCGTCCGAAATCACGGACATTCATAAATTATGAATCCATGCCTGCACATTTACTTTGGAACCATGCCTACACATTCACTTTGGAACCATGAGATTATGAATTTTCAGTTATGAGATTATGAATTTTCTGTTATGAGATTATGAATTTTCATTACATTCATAATTTCGGACATTCATAAATTATGAATTCATGCATGCACATTCACTTTGGAACCATGCCTACATATTCCCGTCCGAAATCACGGACATTCATAAATTATGAATCCATGCCTGCACATTCACTTTGGAACCATGCCTACACATTCACTTTGGAACCATGAGATTATGAATTTTCTGTTATAAGATTATGAATTTTCTGTTATGAGATTATGAATTTTCAGTTGTGAGATTATGAATTTACTGTTATGCGATTATGAATTTTCTGTTATGAGATTATGAATTTTCATAAAATTCATAATCTCATAACAGAAAATTCATAATTTGATCAAACGCGCGCCGTTAACTCCACATCCGCGAATTTTTTTTTTTTTGCCTAAAAACGACGTCGTTTTGCCTTGTGTTCACCATTCTCGGTGAACACGATTCCATGGCATAATTTGCGTTACTTTCTCTTGTAGACCCATCTGATTGGGCTTCTCATTGTAATACAATCTTGTAATAGTTTCTATTATCTGAGCCTTTTGGGATACTTTATAATACAATCTCGTAATAATTTCTATTATGTGTGCCATTTGGGCCGTAGCATTTTGTAATAAATGCACCACAATGAAATACACAAATGCATATATATATATATATATATATATATATATATATATATATATATATATATATATATATATATATATATATATATATATATATATATATATATATAGAGAGAGAGAGAGAGAGAGAGAGAGTAAATACCAGCTAAGGTCCTCCGAGTTTGATGGTTTGGCCATATATAGTCCTAAACTTTCAATTTACCACCTGTGGTCCTCTGACTTTCAAAATCTTACCTTCAGCGGTCCTTCCGTTAATTTATTCCGTTTGCACCGTGTAAACCAAGGGTATAATTGTAATTTTTCTTTATTTATTCATTTTTATTGTTTATTACCCTTTGTCGGCCCTTGCCACCGTTGGTACGCAATTCCCCTCTTTCCTCCGCCGTATTCCGCTGCAACGGCCAACGAGCCAGTTGTGAAACATGGTAGACCCACACGTTGAGCAGAGACACATATGCCTACATGGAAACAGCAGCACGCTGGACTCTCTTTCCCCACCGCCGGCAAATCCTCCTCACGTCGCTGTTTTCCGGCGCCGGCGCGACAGTCCCTAGTTCCGGCAACTCCTCACCCCTTCCTCCTCCACGTGATTGCTGTCGCAGCAGAACTCGGCGTCTCCCTCCACCGCACCTCGGCCGTCAGAGATGTGCTCGTCGCTGACGTGGGCCAGGACTTGTTCCAAGTTTGAGCGGAGAGAATTGGCGGTGGCTTCATTGGTTTGCGCTAGGTCTCTCCATAGCTGGTTCTCTACGTAGAGGCTCTTCATCCTTTCTTGGAGGGCCAAATTCAGTTTCCCTAATCTCTCAATTTGATCGTCTTTTTCCTTTCTTCATCACCCTTTCTTCGATTGCCGCAACCAAAATCCCCCCCTGTTGCTTTTGCCTCTCTTCAAATTCGATTTTCATCTTTTTCGTCTGTAAATAAATTAAATGGGCACAGTACAAAATTAGATCAGAACAAACAAAATCACAATTACAGCAGTAATATTAGAATTGTAATAAATTATTCATTCAAATACGGACTTGTATCTTTCACTGATTGCTCTCTCCGCTTGGCTTTG